ATAGATCTAAGAAGTAGTCCAAGTGTTTTATGTAGTTTTAAAACATTTTTTTTTCTTTGATTTTTATGAAAGCAATTGTTATTGAAATGAACAACTTTTACAAATACATTGTGGAACATAGTAATATTGCACAAAATTCTCGTGACGCAAATTGGAAAGACATTCATGTGAATGAAGTGTATTGTTTTCTAGCTTTGTCGTTCCTTATGCCTCAACTTCGAAAAGAAAAAATAAATTCTTATTGGTGGACTGACAGTTTCCTGTCTACACCCGTTTTTCCCAAATTATTTCACGTGATAGATATCTAATTCTGTTGCGTATGTTACATTTTTCAGATAACAATATCGTTCACAAAAAGGACTCCCTTTTTAAGCTACGAATGGTTATAGACCACTTAAAGACCGCTGTTCGTAGATTTTTATATTCATTCAGAAACATTTGTATCGACGAAAGTTTGATGCTTTATAAATGAAGGCTAGCATTTAAACAATATATACCCTCCAAAAGGCACAGATTTTTAATTAAATTCTACGTTTTATGTAACTGTGAGACAGGCTACATTTTGAACTTTATCATTTATACTGAGTCTAATACTGACATTAAAATTTTCGATAAAGACCTAAAATTTCTAAAAATATTGTACATACGGTGATAGAGCCTTACTTGAATTAAGGCCCTACGTTGTATGTGGACAACTGGTACAGCAGTCCGCTTTTATTTGATAAACTATATAAAACGAATCCATGTGAAACGGTAAAACTAAATGGAAACATATGTCACCCATGACGAAAAAACCTATGTAAAGTTCAAGTAGTAGTCAGCTCAATATACAAAAAAGGGGATAAACGCAATTGCTTTAATTATAGAGGAATAACTGTTACTAGCTCAGTTGGGAGGTTGTACGGTCGAATAATAAAAAAACGAATTGAATCAGAATATGAAGAAATAGAGGAACAAAATGGATTTCGGGCAGGAAGATCGTGCATTGATAATATATTCGTTCTGCAGCAGGTAATCGAAAAACGGAAGGCAAGGAATCTATCTACCCACCTATTGTTTGTAGATTTAGAGAAGGCATATGATACGGTACCATTGAAACAACTATTTTATACATTGACGAAAGTAGGTCTCAGTAGAGAGTATGTGGATGCTATCGCAAATATATACAAAAATGCAAGAAGTGTCGTTAAAGAAGGAAACTTTATATCTGAATCATTTCCAATAACCAAGGGGATTAAACAAGGATGTTGTCTGTCTTCGACCATGTTTAAAATATATATTCAATCATCGCTAGAGCAGTGGAGAAAACAAGTATCCGGAATAGGAATAGACATAGGCGGTGGTGAATGTCTAACAGCTTTATTTTTCGCAGATGATCAGGTAGTCGTAGCGAATGACGAGGAAGACATGGACTACATGTTTAGAAAACTAAAGAAAGAATATGAAAAATGGGGCCTCAATATAAATATGGCAAAGACAGAGTATCTTAAAATAGGAGATGGTGAAGAAGATCCAGAGTTAGAAATTAGAAACACAAAAACATGCAATGAATATAAATATCTCGGATCTATAATATCTAAAGAAGGCACTACCAAAAGAGACATCGAAAACAGAAACACAGCAGGGAAAAAAAGTGGTAAACATTCTAAACTCTCTACTTTGGTCTAAAGATATTAGACAAGAAACGAAATTGACAATCTATCGAACCTTGGTAGAGCCTATTATGACTTATGGGGCAGAGGTTTGGCAGATAACGCAAAAGGATAGAAAAAGAATAGAAGTAGTAGAAATGGATTTTCTAAGGAGAGCGTGTGGTATATCCAAAAAAGATCACATCAGGAATGAAGATATTAGAAGGAGGACAAATACTGTATATTCCAGTGTAGATAGAATTGAAACGAGACAACTAGTGTGGTATGGTCACGTGAAACGAATGAATGAAGATAGATGGCCAAATAAAGCTTTAAATTACATACCACAACAAAGAAGAAGAAGGGGAAGGCCTTCAGTTGCCTGGGAAGAAAATGTACGGCACATAATGAGAGATAGAGCCATCAGAGAAGACGAATGGATGGACAGAAAACGATGGCGGTCGAAATGCGAGAAACGGCAGAGGCTGTAGAAACCTCGCTTATATATATATATATATATATATATATATATATATATATATATATATATATATATATATATATATATATATATATATATATATCCGGTTTTTTAGGCGTTACGCCCGTCCGGTAGGGATCTATGGAGGAGTATCACCGAGCCGCAAGCCCTTATCTCTTGCCGTATTGCTCCACCATAGGCCGATCAGAATCCAGCATATCCTAGTCTAAGCCGCAGATTCATCTAGAATTTTAAACTGCTGCGTTAGACTTTTTGTTTTCTGTACACCGAGCTGGGGCTCGACCCACATCCACTAAACCATTCGACAGTGACGCGAATGAGAGGCAGCCGCACAGCCCGCTGAGCTATCTGACCGACCTATATATATATATATATATATATATATATATATAAAGTTCAAGTAGTTGGCTACAAGACTACAAATATGCAGGCGCTGAAGTGGTTAGATAGACGTCCAGTTACAATGCTGAGGACACTTCACTCCAGCAACATGAAAGATAGTGGTAAAAAAACTAAGGACAATGTTTCTATCCAGAAACTACAATGTGTACTGGATTATAATTGTAATATGGGGACTGTAGATAAAACCGACAAGCTTCTCAGTAGCACCGAATCTGTCAGAAAGTCAATAAAGTGGTATAAAGTTATTTTTTTTTGCATTTGAATGTTTTGTGTATCATTTGTTTGTAGTTTTTTACTTTGTTTCTATAATTATTAATGATAAATAAAATAAAGATAATTTTCAGTGTATTTAATTTTTTCTATTTTTTAAAAATCTAACAGCAACAACTTTATAGTTACTTCTACAAAATTGTAAATACAGTCCTGAATACACTGTATTGATACACTGCGAGAACCGTATTTACACGCCATAGTACTTCTTCGACTGACTGCGGCAACCGTGTTGATCAGCACAGGCATGAAACAGCCGTACCAGAAACCATACTACTTTTATAGACTAGCGTCTAGCCGTTGGCAGGTCAGTATAATCCTGACCAATCCAATCGCACTTGATTTTGTGTGTAGCGCGTCATTCAAATTATGTACAGGTTTGAATGTAACAGTCCTCATTTCTCATATCACGAAACGTTCTCAGATTGTTCACACAAATAAGGAGTTATATTTAATTGTTTTGAATACACAGAAACTCATAAAAATGTTGTAGACACTTCAACGGAAGATAGCAAAATCAAGAAAGATTCTAAGAAGTGTGTATAATTTTTATTCAAGTTATGTTGCAGAATTGCATTCTCATTTTCAAGAAGAATACAACCTAATCCTAGAAAGTGAAACACTTCAATGTTCCAATTTAGTCTCTTTTCAGGAGTGGAAATGTTTCATTGAAAGTAGTACAAAAACCAAATACGTTAAAGTCGAGAACTTTTCCGCAAACACTCACAATGAAGTTTCTCTGTCATCGGTCAGGCTGCTTTAATTCTGAAAGCAAAAGAAAAAGACACTTAAAAATGAAAGGCAGTATAAAAATTGGTGGATTTTGCCCAGCAGTCTCACAGTTGTGGTTGATTTGGCAGAAAAAGTTAAAGTCAATTTTATAAAAACACACATTGGACATCAAACTGATATTGGACAGTTATTTCCAAGTCTATCTGAGCGTCAGTTTATTACTAATATTTGATTGTGGTAATTATTTTTATTATACAACATAACAAATAACAACAACTATGATCTATAATAATAATAAGTGACAAGCAGACAAGCCCTCCCTCACTTGTTGCCAACTCACAATAAGATAGTATTTATAATATGTAAAATAATAAAACTGTGTATTTAAAACAACTAAACATTACTTCTTGTTTGAGTGAACAATCCGAGAACGTTTCGTGATATGAGAACTGTTACATTCAAATATGTACATAATTTAAATGACGCGCCACACATATACTCAAGTGCGATTGGATTGGTCAGGATTATCCTGACCTGCCAACGGCTAGACGCTAGTCTTTTATAGCCGCAGAAACTTATAACTAGCCGCAGTGAAAAGGTTAAAAAATTATTTCAATTTGAATCTTTCTTACCTGGTAATTTATTCTGTGAAATATAAAAATTCCATTGTATTTACTAAAACTCAACTTGATATCAGTTATTTTATATTCATAAAAGGGACTAACGATTCGATTTCGCTTAGCCATGAAGTACGACTCGAAACTCGAGTCAATTTTTAAAACAGCTAAAATTTATAGGTTTTGGAATATAGTATTTTCATATCTCGTCATGTGGGGTGCCAAATCCTTTATATGAAAGACGGTAACTTTTCAGGAGAGCAAAAATACTGTTTTATTTTTATTCAACTACTCCTATGAAAAAAATTTTAATGTGAAAATTAAATTATATATTTTTGCATATATGGATATATATATATATATATATATATATATATATATATATATATATTATATATATATATATATATCCAATGTAAATTTTTTACATATAAACAAAAAACTAAGGCACCAGAATTTTTTTTCTCAAAATCTGCACATAACGGATTTTTTCGGTATTACAAGTCTCCTGCATCTGATAGTAAGCACATGAAGGATTTGCAAGTAGCTAAATTTACCGCTAAACTTGACCACTATGTGTTAAAATCTACAAGAAAACTGCCTCAGATTAATTATAAAAAAACTACACAGTGTTTTCATAGCAAAAATTTAATCAGAACCAATTCCGAGACCAAAATCTTAATAATATAAAATCACTTAACGATAAAAATACTTATCTCCAGTTACACACAAAGCAGACACTATCAGTTTGGTATAAGAATTAAAGGTGAGTTAGACTGTCGTAGAAACCATGATAGTCAGAGTGCAGGTATTGCTTCAATGATTGGAAATTCTCGAATTTTGTACCTTCGATTTTCCGAGCTTCAGTATACAGAGATTTCAAGCTATTACTGTTTACTCGCACACGCTGAGAAAGTTTCTGCCAGTCATCTGGCTGACGTAGTTTATAATATATTTCACCATCTGTGTAATGCAAAGCTCTAATGTCATTCACGGTAGGGTCTCCAGCTTTTTTTCCCGGCCTGATAAAATCATAATTGCAAACCTTTTTATATTTTTGGACACAGTAGGACGCTTGTACATCCATAGTAATAACCAATACATCTGAAAAGACCGTCAAGCTTAGAGCGTCTGATTTAGCAATCATAGCTTCATTCTTTTTCAGCATGTGAAGTTTGTACTCTTCTTCGGATGTATGTCGTTCTTTGTAGGAAACACACACATTGCACTGGTCTTTCCGAGGTTTAAAGATGGAAACCTTTTCTGATTCTAATACCATGTAGAAGACCCTTTTGCTAGCTTTTGGTTTCGTGTTGTCTTGACACCTAATAAGATAGATCCGGTGCACGTGAGCCTTACTCTCGAAGGTATCTTCAACGTACATCCTGTTAGTGTATGCCCGACAGTAGTGACTGCTTACTTTTGATAATAAATTTAACCATTCCTTAACAGATTGCTGCTTTTCTGCATTATTAGTCACAGTCGTTATTGTCTTGGTCGTTTGCTTTTGATGTCTAGTTCTCAGGTCTTGGTTTGTCCCATTTTAAGGTTGTTTCGCCTAAAACGTCTTGATCCATTCCGTGACGGTTTCAGCCTGCAAGTCTAACGTGTGCATTATAAAGTTTTTACAGACTCTTACAGGTATATTTTCGTCGTCTGGAAGAAAATAGTCGAATGCTAAATTTTTATGCTGATTATCAGTTACACACTCTTTAGTCGTCTGATCACGGGGCGCATGCGGATAAGATTTTTGAGGTATGCTTTCTTTGCTTCCCAGGTACCAAGAGACCAGAAATATTTGAAAAGGGATTGCCGTCTGTCTTCTGATATCAAACTGCAAAGAAAGCTCCTATCAGACTATCGGTTGCAGAATGTATGCATTGTTTGTTTTTTATAGACCTTCCTGTATGCAGGTCATAGTAAGACTTGGATTTACTGCTGTCATCAGCAATGCATTTTCTTTTACGGCTGTTGTATTTTTGACCTAGAACCCTTTGTATCTTATTTTTATTTCGATTTTTAGAAACATTTTCAGTATCGGAAGTCGAAGTCTCGGAGCCGCTACTTTCGTCAATATCGAAATTTTCAGGTACCTCAGATGGTTCGTTCGGTAAAAATAGACCACTGACTTCATCCAAGTAGCAATTGTTCGAGTCGACAATTTCTCTAACATCTACGAGTTTGAGAATACCAGTCTCTGAATCTAGAATGAATTCACCTGTAGGTATCTGTGGTAATACGTGACTAATGCACCCGGTTTCCAATATATGGTTTGAATTACAACAAGTGCTTGGTGGGGGCTTTGAAGTAAACTCCAAAACTTCCAATTCTTCACAAGTAGGTACATCAATCTGATCACCACAATGAACCTCATTTGTTGTCTCTCCAAATGGAGCATACTTGAAAGGAGACGTTTTTATAGGAGCTAGATCCAATTCACCAGATTGTCAATTTTCTGTACCGTAAAAAGTATGTTTCTTGCTTGTTGGATCATAAGATTTGGATATGGAAATATCAGATATGGAAACATCAGATAAAATTGATATCTTTGACGTTGAAGAGATATTGGAATCTATACTTCTTCTACCTACTGCTAGGTCTAGCAATAGTCTGGATCGCTGTGAAGCAGAACTCATAGTTCCTGTAAAAAACAAAATACATAAAAAATGAAATTCTTTATTACCAAACACAGCAGTGATAAAAAGGTGTTATATAATATTCAGTAGATTCTTGGCTGTGGTAGGGCATTAATTTATCGTTAAAAGACTGGTAAATTCTGAATGAATCTTGAATGAATCAAGGAAGTGAAAGAAGAGTATATTAAAGTGTGTAAAGATTTACACATTTTAATATAATCTTCTTTCACTTCCCTCATTAATTTATCGCTACTATCCGTCCTAACAATCTTACCCTAGTCTAATAGGTTGCGACAAAAATGTTAATAGAAAGAATGAATTATAGCAGCAGCTTTTAATGTTTAACGATGTGCCGGTAACGCAAAAAGGGTCATTGCAGTTTTATAGCACCTAGGAAGAACATCGAACGTTTAGATTTAGTACCCCACTGCCAATGCACACAAAAAGGATAAATTTGAGGTTAGTTTTGCGATGTCGTTTTTAAGTAGGTGCTTACTTAGTTTTATTAGGAAAACAATCAATAGTACTTACTACTATATTTATTCTAACACCGATTTTAATGTGAAAAATACGTAGTTTGGATAAGCTTTCAATTATTTTAACACAGTTTTTCACTACGAGAACACATTTCTTGCGTCGTGCACGCGGTTATGAGGAACTGTCAAATCCGTTATGTGTTATTTCAAACACATAACGGATCTTGCTATAACGACTGTAGCACATAAAGGATAAGCAAGTGCAAGTTTTAGGTCGAATTTCACAAAACGGTCACAATCGATAGAGCGGCAAAAATGGAATCGAACTGTCAAATAAAAAAAAATTTAAAAATTCACATAACGGATTTGGCACCCCTTATGACGATTTTCAGTATTTAAACATTAAAAAAATAAATATAGTTAGCATAGAACAACATTTGAAAATGTTTTTCAATTAGGGTAGTTGAGAAAAACCATGAAAAGGATGGTAAAAATATAATAAAAATCTAGCAGAGCATTCTTGTGTTCCCAAAAAGATTTTTTATTCGCCTAACCTCAATATGTAGCTTGTTGAATGTTTTCCATCAACTGAGGCTTAGGGGGTCAAAAATTATAAGGGTGGATCAAATCCAGTAAAAACTTAGTAAGAAATTTATATTTTCAGTTACAAGTAAAATACAGAAAAATTATGGAAATAGATTTTTTATCACCTTAAATTTTAATCTAGCAGAATTATTGACTCCCCACAGAGGGTCATTGAGGGTTAAAAAATTACTAGGATGGCAATATGTTAGTAAAAAACTATCACAATACTATAGTATTTCATATTTCCGAAAAGATTTGCTTTGTATTCAACTAGCGTAAATGTGTAGATGGTGGAATTGGTGAAGTTTTTTCCGCTGGCTCGAATAGAAACGTTTTCAAATAAGATTGGTATAGGGATAGAAACTTATCAGGGTGGTGAAAGTTTGGTAAAAACTTTTTTATGTCAGTTATAAGTAGAGGACAGTGAAATTTTAAAAATATATTTTTTACATTAAATTTTAACTTTTAACAGAACTATTGACTTATCACAGGGAATAGTTGAGGGGTGAAAAATTACTAGCGTGGTAATAAATTCTTTAAAACCTAGCAAAGCACTGTGGTATTTCAAAAATATTTTTTTTTATTTCGCTTGTTCGAATAATAAACTAGCAGGAACGTTTCCGAATAAGATTAGTTTACGAATGGAAAATAACCAGGGTGGTCAACGTTTAGTAAAAACTTAACATTTAACTAGCTTAACTTAGCACGTTACATTTTAACCCAACAGAATTACAGACTTCTCACAAGAGGTAATTGAGGGGTGAAAATTACTAGGGTGGTAATAAATTCGTAAAAACCTAGCAGGATGCTGTGGTAGTTCTAAATGTTTGTTAATTCCGCTGGCTCGAATATTAAGCTAGCAGGAAGATTTCCAAATAAGATTGGTTTATTAGTGAAAAATTATCAGGATAATCAAAGTTGATTTCCTTAAAAGGCAGTTAAGTGGTAAATATTTAGTGGGGTGGTAATAAATTTATAAAGCAGAATACTGTGGTATTTCAAAAATTTCTTTTTTTTTATTTCGCTGGTTCGAATATTAAGCTAGCAGTAAAGTTTACGAATAGGTATATGGGAGCAAAATTATCAGGATGATCAAAGTTAAGTGAAAACTTAATAAAACACTTTCTTATTTCAGTTATAAGTAGAGGACAATGAATTTAAAAACAAAAATTTCTCCTTAAATTTTAATCTAACACAATTATTGACTTTTCACAAGGAGTAGTGAAGGGGTGAACAATTACTAGGTTGGTAATTAATTCGTAAATACCCAGCAAAACACTGTGGTATAACATAATTTTTTTTAAATTCTGCTAGCTTGAGCTGTAAGCCAGCAGAATTGCTGCCCTTAAGGGTGGTTTGTTGGTGAAACATTATTAGGTTGGTAATAAATTAGTAAAAAATGGGTGAAAAAATATGCCATCAACAAGAAGTGTTTTTTTTTTTAATTCTGCTAGCTGAACCTTAAGTCAGCAGAATCGCTCCCATTAAGTGTGGTTTGGTGGTGAAAAATTGTTAGGGTGGTAATAAATTAGTAAGAAATGGGTAAAAAAATATGCTATTAACAAAAAGTGTTTTTTTTTAATTCTGCTAGCTTGAACCCTAGGCCAGCAGAATTGCTATCACTAAAGAGGGTTTAGTGGTGAAAAATTATTGGGGTGGTAATAAATTAGTAAAAAATGGGTAAAAAAATATTACATATGTTAAATTGGATTCCGCTCATGTGTCCCCGCTAAAATAAGGGTACTTAAAAAAATTCATGCTGGTAAAACAAAACATCTCCTACGTAAAGTATCGTAACCAACAAATTTCGGTTTTTCACTTTTTTACATTTTTATACTTCTAAGCACGTAAACTTACGTCTACAAAAATTAAAATTTTAATTTTTCTAATAGAAGGCCTCCAAAATTAGAAAGTAAAATGTCGTATGTTTACATTTGTCCAAGTATACAATAGGATCTTTTACTATCGATATTATAGGAGGTGGCGAAGATTAAATTGAAGAAAGTGAAAGAAATGAAGGTATGGATTATTGTGTATTGATATTTTTTGTAGTAAAATGAAATTTTAATACAAACGTCTTTACTGACGAAAAATATTGTAAGTTGTATTTACTATAGTTCACGTTGTTTATGCTATTAAAAAAACATCGTGTGTGATAAAAAAGACATTTTACACCGTAAAATAAATAAAAATTATGTCCTGTGTATATGATACGATGTTTTACGTTGGCGTTTCATATTGTTTTCTTATAGTATCTACTAGTTGCCATAGATTCTTTCAATTAATTATTTAAGTTACAACATTATACGTGTCAAAATTTGTTTACATTCAACTAATTTTATTTTCTTTTTCCAGAAACTCCTCTGCCATCGGACGTAGACAAGAGTGCAATAGAACAAATTAGGATTTTTTCTCAGATACAGTTAATAAAGATTTCAATAACGTTGTTTGCCTGGTCAGATTAGACTCTCCTAGGAATGACGAAAATTCTTTAGTCAAAGGCCGAAAGTGGAATTTATTTCGAGGTTTGACTAAGACCGTAAATCGAACCTGAGGATTGACTAGTCAAAGCTAGGAGTATTGGAGTTTCGAGATTTGACTACAACATATAGATATTTTTTTGTAACTCTGTACATTTCGACTGGAATAAGCGTGAGAAATCTTTTAACAGGAATGCATCGTCATGCATCGAGTAGCAATAAGAATATGCGGCATAGTTTCAAAAAAGACTGCCAAATAAACGTTAAATCGAAAGGCGCATTATTTTGAAACTCTTACAAAAAATATTAATTTTAAAGGTTTTTTTCTTCACTTTTTCGGTATCACTTGCAGTGGTAAAGACATATTAAACTAGTAGTCTGTAATAAAGTGTATATTTCGTGTGTAGGTAGTGAAATTTTAAATAAGTCGACATGGAAGAAATTCCACCGATGCCTCCAGATAGAGGGAAATGTTATATAGAATTGGGTGAAGATAGGATGATGGAATTTAAAGAATTTAAAACAATAGCAACATTTGAGTAAATAATAAAGTAACAAACAAAAAAAGCCAAACTACTAGCACTAACGAGGTAGGTAACCAATTTGATTTTAATAATGATGCAAATTTGCCACAATTTAATAAAATAGATAGATCTTCTTCTTCTTCATGTACCATGTCCTTTCAGAACATTGGTTACCATCATAGCTATTTTAATTTTATTCTACATGTCCGAAATATTCCAGCTTTCTCTCTATCGCTAGATAGATCAGGTAATCCAAATTTAAATAAAGTTATAAATTTAAGATTAAATAGTAGATATAAATTAGAAGATAATTCACCATATATAGTACATATAGAAAATAAAAACGGTAATATCGGCAAATTACACAAGATAGGCACGGCCCGATTAATATTACGTTAAGTACCTGAAGTTGAAAATAATATCACACAAATTACGGTAGTTGGTAGGAATAAAATTAAGGTAGAACTTGATGAATAATTTTACTAGTGATAATAAATTAATTGAATCTGATTACTTAAAAAGCAAACAGTACGAGGCATATATTCCAACGTTTTTTACTCAAAGAAAAGGAGTTATAAAATCTGTAGATAAAGAGATAAAAAAGGATGATCATTAATTCAACCTAGGTTTGGAATGAGGTTTAAAGACTTACATGTAAAAAGAATACCTACCCACGCAGTAATAGAAATAATTCTTATAGGGGTTGAAAATTACACACCCAGAATGCTACAATG